AGGATTCGCATTAATGATCTGTGAAAATATGATGGCAAAATTTACGACAAAATCGTAAGGTTCGCCGAGGATCTCCAAAAGCATTCTTTTGAGGGTAAAGATTTTCATCTTCCACATGTAATTAATATTCTGCTTTGTCTCCAATGGCAAAACATCTTCATCTACAATAATATTAATAAATGAATTAGTTGTTGATATCAATGCCATCTTTTTCGGTGTCTAGTAAATAATAATAATAATAATAATACAGCACTAATAATCAAAATCATCAATCATAAATCAATCAATTATCAATCAATCAATCAATCAATCAATCAATCAATCAATCATTAATCAATCATTAATTAATTAATTCATTCATTCATTCATCAATCACTCAATCGGTCAAAATATTACTTTCTGGAATGTAGCGACACGACAGACCATTAGTGATACAAAAGTTACGTTTTTGATGCATTTTGACCCGTGTCTGCATAAACATTATGAAAATCAAAATTTTTGTCCGCACGCGTGTTCAGATTTGTAATTTAGAGTAACTAAAACATGCATATTCACGCATTTGTGTAATAATATGATTATCATATGATACTAGGGTGTCTAATATCGGTTTAATCGAAGATCATTAATGAATTTTTTTTCCAGTGATTTTCCGACTTACAATTAGATCTTCCGATTCCACTATTTTTTCTTAAATTCTGTAAACTGTTTATGCTCTATGAAACATATATTCAAAAGGTAAAAACGTTACATTTACATATGATATATAAATGATTAGGATTTTATACTGGTTTTAATTTGGCGACCATAATACTCCATAAGCTAAGTATAAAACTCCAATTATTTTATTTTATATATCATATGTAAAATGTAACGTTGTTACCTTTTGAATATATGTTTCATAAAGCATAAACAGTTTACAGAATTTAAAAATATTAAATGCTTTAGGAGAAATAAAAATTTGAGCGATATCACTTTTTTTATAATAATTTAATAGGAAATAGTGAAATCAGAAGATCTAATTGTAAGTTGGGAAAAAAATTCATTAATGATCTTCACTATGTAGTTTGTATTATGTGTGTGATTAAACCGATATTAGACACCCTAATATGATACGTTCCAGGCACGCATTTTTCTAGTATAACTAGAGATTGCGAATGCGGGCGGCTTCGCCGCCTGTTTTAATTATTATGTATAAAGGCTAATTGTATTTTCATAT